CGTGTGCCCGTGAGCCCCCGCAGGGCCGGCTGACACGCGTGTGCCCTGTGAGCCCCCGCGGGGCCGGCTGACACGCGTGTGCCCTGTGAGCCCCCGCGGGGCCGGCTGACACGCGTGTGCCCTGTGCGGTTTCAGGACTTCCTGATGGAGACCTTCATCATGTTCAAGGACCTGATTGGGAAGAACGTGTACCCCGGGGACTGGATGGCCATGGGCATGGTGCAGAACAGGTGACCAACACAGCACACAGCCGTGCCGGAGGGCTGAGGGGGGCTCGGGTCCCGGTGAGGAGCGCGCATGTGTGTGTGTGTGTGTATGTGTGTGTACGTGTGTGTACACGTGCGTGAGTGTGTGCGCGCATGAGTGTGTGTATGTGTGTGTGCATGTGTGCGTGCATGTGTGTATGTGTGTGTGCATGTGTGCGCGTGTGTGTGCATGTGTGCGTGTGTGCATGCTTGTGTGTGCATGCTTGTGTGTGTACATGTGTGCGCGTGTGCATGCTTGTGTGTGCATGCTTGTGTGTGTACATGTGTGCATGCGTGTGCACGTGCGTGTGTGCATGCTTGTGTGTGTACGTGTGTGCGTGTGTGTGCGTGTGCGCGCGTGTGTAGCACAGGTGTCTGTGGTTCGGAGCTGTGCGTTGTTTGGGTATGCAGACGGGGCGGCTGTCTGCTGGGAGACATCCTTCCTGTCTCGATCTTTTCCTCCTGGTGAGACGTAGCCCCCAGGGCGAGCTGATTTACGCGACGTGGTTAATTTCACAATGATGAAGTTCTCTACAATGTTGTAAATTAACAGAGTTTTGCCCAGCAGCCTTGTCCCCCCCCCTTCCACCTGCACCTCAGTCTGGGATTCCCACACCCGCCACTAAAATGAAGTCAACTGGCAAGTCTTTGCAGAAGCCGGGCTCAGGGAGCGGGCCCTGGGGAGCGGGCCCTGGGGCGTGCGGGCAGGGGCTTTGTCCCCTGGGGAGACCAGATGGAAATGCGGTGGGCATCCTGAGCTCCAGGCCAGAGGTGGCCGGGAAGTTCATGCGGGGGCGGCCGGGGGCTGAGCCCTGTGTCCCCCACTGGACAAGCAGCTCTGCTGGACTCCGTCTTCCTCACTGTGAGATGGGCGGATGGAATCCCAACTTTGCCGGGGAGGTCGTCAAGGTCACCGTTCGGAAGGGCAGGGGTGGCCGCAGCCCCCTCCGGTCCCCCGCGGGCATCTGTGTGTGTGGCGGTCACAGTTCACCTGGGCCGGGGACAGGTGACTGACCCAGGGAGCTACGGGACGGGCGTGGGGGGGAGGGGCCGCCTCCCCTGCAGAGTGACTCCGCTCAGGACCCGCTCCACATGCGTCCCAGGCTGCCAGGGGGGTTAACCCACCCCCTGCCGCTTGGTGTGGGCTTGCCAGCCCGCTGCCTGCTGGCCGGCCCACAACACACCGTGCGGCATCCGGGGATGGGCCGAACGCAGGAGCCATGCAAGCACGTGGGAGCTGGGCACGGGAAGACATGCGTGCCGGGGCAGAGGTCGCGGGAAGACAGATGCCCGCCCGGCGAAGGTCCATGCAGGCTCAACGTCAAAGCAGCCAGCCGACGCCCAGGAAGCGGAGAAGCCTTGGAGAAAGGCGGGGGAGGCAGCCTGGCCCCGGGGCTGGGCCGCGCTCGGCATCCCGGAGGTCAGAACGGACGGGGAGGTGGAGGCGCCCACGCTCTACGGCTGGGCCTTCGCTGAGATCCTGATGCTCTAGTACTTCAGTCAGGAACTTTGTTCTAACAGCTCACTACGTCCTCAGCCTACTTCACCACATCCATGCTTAGGTTTGAGGACAACTGTCTTCTAAAGAGGAAGGGAGAACCACGGTTCAGCCACGTTCCCACTCGACCAGGTGGCTCTGGGAGAATCCGGAAAGAGGAAAGAATCCACGTCAGACCCCGAGATGCTTCCACACACACTGCCTGCCACGCGGAGCCTTTCTGTCCACAGAGTTGGATGACCAGTCTTCATGGAGGAAAGACAAACATCCTTTCAAAGGCTGTTCACGAACGTGGAGATGGGGAGCCAATGAGATCTCACTCTGAGCAGCCTGAGGGCGGGCCTGGTGGGCCCGACCCCCACCGCACAGGCCTCCAGGGGAGGGAGCTGAGCATTCAGAGGTGACGGCCGCCTGCCCCAGGTCCACAGAGCTAGAGGACGGCAAGACCAGAGGTGGCCTCTGCTCTGTGCACGTGGGCGTGCGTGCCAAATCCTGTGCCTCTCCGAACAGCGGCGAGGGGAGGCAAACCCGGGGGCGTTCGACAAAAAGCACAGCCCCAAGGCCACGTTCTCAGGATGTGGCCGGAAGCACAGGGCGGTCATGAGACACAAACCCGGGAAGGAAGGCCGGAGCCCCAGCAAAGACGGCACCAGAGAGAGCTGAGATCTGGCCTGGACAGCGGGTTGTCCTGAGAGTCGGCAACAGCCGTTCATGGGACTATGGGGGGCAGGTGACCACAGGGCTCTGCCGTGACTGAACAGGAGTCGGGGCCTGACAAGGAGCAGCGAGGGACACACTGAAGAACAACTTGCCGTGGACAACAGCTGTCCAGATGTGCGTGGAGGGCTGCACTGACCTGGACAGGCCGGGCGCGGGGAGGTGTTTACAGGAAGTACAAGGCGTATGCGAAGCACGAGGTGTGCGTGGCCAAGCACCCACCAGAACGCTGTTCAGAACAGAGCGAGCCGAGACACCGCAAGAAGGCCCATCAATAAGAAAGTGATTAAATAAATGGCGAAGCAGCCTCACGGCCGTGCTCCTCAGCGATCGAGAGGGATGATGTATGTCCGCGCTCACTGGCCAGCACAGGCAGGGCACACGATTTATCCCCGCGGGTTGTGGGGCAGCGTTCAGCCCCTGCCGCCATCGAAACATCGCCTCCGTGCGCCCGTCTGGGGCCTTGGCTGTGGGGGCTTCCTCTGGACGGGCCGACTCGGTGCCGGGTTGGGTGGCTGGCTGGGAAGGGGCTACTTCTCTCTGCGTCGGTGTTTCGGAAGGTTGATACGGATTTTCTGCCACAAGCATCTCCTGCCTTTAACACAGGACGTTGGGGATGTCGGAAGGAGGTTAAGCAGCCAGCTCCGGGGTTGTTGGGGGGACAGGCACAGAGGGGTTTTCGGTGTGGTCGGATGTCAGCTAGGGCCGGGGCCGTGGTGCACAAATCAGCCCTGCGTGAGGACGAGGGGACTCTGCTCTAGCACACGGGGCAGGGCCAGGAGCGGGGAGGTGGGTAGGGTGACCAGGGGGCCCCCGGGACACGTGCTCCGGTGACCCGGCAACTCCTCCCCTCCTCCAGGGTCTTCCTGAGAGCCATCAACAAGTTCGCCGAGATCATGAACCAAAAGTTCCTGGAGCACACGCACTTCGAGTTCCAGGTGAGCACTGGGAGCTCGCATGGGGTCGAGGGAGGTTCTGTGTCTAGTCAAGGCTCCTGGGTGCTTAGTGAAAAGCAGTCTAAGAACAGGGTCATTTTTCAGCCTTCTCGGTGTTGGCTTGTTCTTCCTCCCTGGGTGAGGATGGATTGTTCTCTGTCTGCCGCCTGGAACACGTCTTGTCTCCTCCTTACGGTTTCATTAATTATGCATTTAATATCAGCAGGGCCGGTACCCATCACTGAGCTCGGCTGGCCAGCTGCCATTGTCCAGGGGAGGTGGGGACCGAGGGATTAGCCCTCATTTCTTCTCCAGAGCTGTGATTTTGTGATTCAAAGGGCAGAAAGCATTGCTCTGTGGGTGCCACAGTGTGGGAACGTGGGTGCAGGGTGCTGGGAAGGGAAGGAACGGGGTTTGTGCTTGGAGCGAGATGCTAGGGGTCGGGCAGGCCCGTGTGTTTGATCAGGGAAGACGGGGAGAGGATTGACAGTTCACGCTGCCAGATCCCTGGCTACCCATCACTGTTGGAGGGGTTCAAGGGCAGAGCAACCTCCACTGTGGGTTCTGACTGTGCCCCAGGGTCATGGGCCTGGACCTCGGTCCCTGCGCCCACGTGGACAGGCGAGTTATTTAAGAGGCAGGCCGTTAGATCAGGAGGGCTCTGCGGGCGGCAGGCCCTCCCGGATGCAGCCTCTAGGCCTTGACTTCCCACCTTCCCAACGGCAAGGAATAACTGTCTGTTCTGTGCGTGTTCGCAAGTCTCGGGCATTCTGTGATGGCCGCAGAATAGGGAACAAGATGCCGCCCGGCACTTGAATAGTCTCTTCTGCTTTTCCGAGCTTCAGAAAAGCAGCCGGCTTCTCAGTTAAGATTCATGGAACTGCGGAGCAGGGCAGCAGGTGCAGAGCCGGGAACCAGCCCCACTCGCTCTGCAGGGAGAGGATTGCAGTCTGCCGTCACCCAGAGCCGGGTGCTGTGGGTTCCACCGGGCTGCTCTGGGCGGCTCCGGGAACCAGCAGGGCTGCGCCAGTGGCGGAGGCTGGTTGGCTGGGAAAAATCTGCTTCTGTGCCAGGCAGCTCTCTGATTGGTGCAGAGCCCCAGGCAGCTCCCTGATTGGCGCAGCTCTCTGATGGATGCAAAGCCCCAGAAGGCTCCCTGATTGGTGCAGAACCTCAGGTGGCTCCCTGATTGGTGCAGAGCCCCAGGCAGCTCCCTGATTGGTGCAGACCCCCAGGCAGCTCCCTGATTGGTGCAGAGCCCCAGGTGGCTCCCTGATTGGTGCAGAGCCCTAGGCAGCTTCCTGGTTGGTACAGAACCTCAGGCAGCTCCTTGATTGGTGCAGAACCTCAGGCAGCTCTGTGATTGGTGCAGAACCTCAGGCAGCTCTGTGATTGGTGCAGAACCCCAGGCAGCTCCGTGATTGGTGCAGAGCCCCAGGCGGCTCCCTGATTGGTGCAGAGCCCCAGGTGGCTCCCTGATTGGTGCAGAGCCCCAGGTGGCTCCCTGATTGGTGCAGAACCTCAGGCAGCTCTCTGATTGGTGCAGAGCCCCAGGCAGCTTCCTGGTTGGTACAGAACCTCAGGCAGCTCTCGGATTGGTGCAGAGCCCCAGGCAGCTCCCTGATTGGTGCAGAACCTCAGGCAGCTCTCTGATTGGTGCAGAGCCCCAGGCAGCTCCCTGATTGGTCATCTGTTGAATGCTGGAGGCCTTTTAGGAAAAGCTCTGGAGAGCAGCTCAACTTGCAGCCCTTTGTGAGCCCATACTGGAGACCCTGGGAAACGAAAATCTTCCAGACTGTTTCCCGTTTAGTCTTTGTGATGGAAATGTGACCAGTGGTGGATGGATATACGTGTGTGTGTGTGTGTGTGTGTGTGTGTGTGTGTGTGTGTGTAGAGAGAGAGGGGGAGGAAGGAGAGAAGGAGGGAAAGAGGGAGGGAGGGATGGGGAGATGCCCAGGTACCGACCAGCATGGACTGGAGAGACCTGGCAGAGATTATGCAAGGTGAAATACGCCAGGCCAGAAAAGATAATTGCTGTGTGAGTTCATTTACCTGTGGAGCCGAAGTCAAGCTCAAGACAGTGAGATGGAAGAACAGAAGTTACCAGCCTGGGGGCTGGGAAGGTGGCTCAGTGGTAGAACACTTGCCTTGCATGCCTGAGGCCCTGAGTTCGACTCCTCAGCACCACATAAGCACAAAGAAAAAAGCTGGAAGTGGCGCTGTGGCTCAAGTGGTAGAGAGCTAGCCTTGAGCTGAAGAGCTGAGGGACAGCACCCAGGCCAGAGTTCAAGCTCCACAACCGGAACCCCCTCCCCAAAAAATAAAAAAGAAGTTACCAGGCTGAAGAGGGGGAGAGGGGCAGTGTGGCAAGGCGTCGCCCGTGTGGTTACAGTACAGGAGAACCCAGTCAATAACAATGCTTAAGGTGAAGCAGCCAAGAGAGAGGGCTGTGAATGTTTCACCACAAAGGAATGATATATGGAGAAGCCCTGGTTTGATCCTCGTGCAGAGTATACATGGATTGAACCTGCCCATTGGAACTCATAAATCTGTACGGTGATTATATGTTAATTAAATTGAAAATAGTTCTTGATTTTTAAAAGAAGCCAAGTCCTAGGATAATATCCACTTAAAATTCAAATGCCCCTTTGACCATTTGGGACAATTTATTTTGCCTTTCTGAGACTCGATTTTCTGATGTCTAAAATGAGGACAAAACAATACAAATGACATTGTTTCTTCAGAGGTGCATGTGAAGTGTACGGCTCATTAACAAACTCCTTCTGCAAATAGCCCCGGGACACATGGTAGGTCAGACCAAACGCCAGGTGTGGGAGACATAACAGCACGCTGTATCTATATCTAGCAGATGACATAGAAAACAGCTGTGCTTTAAGATGTCATTAATTAACTAATTAATTCTGGAAGAAGATAGGGAGATCACTGTTCAAGACCAGCCTAGGCAGAAGTTAGTAAAACGCTCTCTCAAAATTAAGCTGGCGGTGGCTCTCCGCCGTAATCCCAGCTGTGCAGAAGGAATGGGTGTGGCTTCCAAGCGAAGCAGATAAAATGAGTCTCAGTGCTGCAAACTGGTCGTGGCCCAGTGGAGCGCGTGAGGGAAGGTTTTCCCAGGGAATGGATCTCGCGAGACGGAGTGGGGGTGTACCAAGTGGGATTCCCCCACTGAGTCCCGCCAGCCGCACCCTCTGGATTGCGTTATCCTCATTTTCCAGATGAGGAAACACACTCAGAGAGACGGGTAGCGTGTGGCAATGGAGCTGGCCATTGGATTGGAAACTGGGACACCAGCACACCACACAGGCCACGGGAAACAACAGAGCCTGTTTGGACCCCAGTGAGGAGTGCGGGCTACAAGCCCCGTTTCTCATCCATGAAAGTGTTCCAACACGAACGCTGATGACAGCGACGTTTCTGGAGAAGGACGTTGAAACAATGTTAAATGTCTGTAATCAGGGAGCTGGTTAAAATTAAAGTAATCCAGAGCAGAACAGAGTGTGGTAGTGAAGGAAGGGAGGGATCCGGTCTGCTCACAGGGACACCTTCCCCAGACCGTGGGTGAGAGGCAGGCGGTGGACATGATGTCCACGGGCGTGCAGTGGATGCCTACACAGGTTTTGAAAGCGTGCAGAAAAGAAATCCTTTACATTTTCTTCCGGGGAAATTGACTAGGTTTCGGGCAGGATGAGAAATACCTTAATCTTTTTTTTTTTAATCATCCAGTTTTGAGAACCACAAGTGTCTTACTTTCGCACTTCTTTGAGTTAACTAACCGTCACCACTGGCTGTTGGACCTTGGATGGCCACTGGAGCGCTCTGGGGCTTCCTATCTGCTGTCTAGAACGGGGCCTCCCCCACAAGGCCGTGCTCCGGGTAGAGTGAGGACCCCTCGGGCGGCTTCGTTGGATTAACCAGGGAAGCCTCCCGGGCGGGGTGGTCACTTGCACGGTGGTGAAGGACCCGACAAGGGTCCTCTCTGCTCAGCAAAGCCGCCCCAGCGGCTCTCCACAGGCCTCGGCCTTGTGCGATGCCCGTCCAGACCCCTGGCTGGTTCTGGGCTGACTCTGGTACCAAAGGAGCCACACAGAAAAGGAAAGGGCAGCAGCCGGCCCTCTGTGCTCTCACCACGACCGGCCCTCTGCACGCAGCCGTGTGCGGGACGGAGCCTGGGGTCTCCTGGCCTTGTGTGTGGGATGGAGACCCGGGGTCTTCTCCACCTAGCTGGCAGGCGCTCCAAGGCCTGGTGGCTTCTCGATGCGGATCGGTGTCGCTCGAGTCTCGTGTCAGCATGGCCAGTCAGATGGAGGCCAGTGGCCGTGGTCCCAGGAGCTGGGCCTAAGGGACTTCTGGCCAGCAGGAGAGCCAGAGCCACAGGACAGCTTCCTGTTAGCACAGAGTCCTGGCCACAGCCATGGGGGCGGTTCCCAGGTCTGGGCTGGGCCCAGGTGGCGTGGCTGCGGGTGGTGGGAGGGAGGAGGGGCAGGGTGCTGGGGCAGGATGGGCTCCCGCGGCCGCTCTGCTGTCAGGGGGACGGGGAGCCCTCCGGAGAGGCTGCCAGTCCCCAGATCCTCACCCCCGTCCACCACCCTGGGGGCACGGTCCAGACTTCCCGGGCGAGGCCAGGGGTGCATCGTTCAACACAAGGACACAAAAGAGCAGACAGAGCAACAAAAGGCCAGCCCGGAAACCCTGCTCCCCGTCCAGTCCGGCTGCCGGGGGGACGTGGACAGCACATAGAGATCCACCCATCGTCCCGCCGGGGGCCAGCCTGCCCAGAGCCAGTGCCCGATAGGAAATCGCAGACACAGCCGGGCTGGTTCCACCCGTCTCCTGCCACACTTGATTATTCACACAGCCAGTGTCTCCGAGGCTCCCAACCCTGGCCTCCCAGCCCTGGCCTCCCAGCCCTGGCCTCCCAACCCTGGCCTCCAAGCCCTGGCCTCCCAGCCCTGGCCTCCCAACCCTGGCCTCCCAGCCCTGGCCTCCCAACCCTGGCCTCCCACGGCTGTGCCCTGACTCCCCCCCCTCTCCTTCCAGCTGTGGAACAATTATTTCCATCTGGCAGTGGCTTTTATCACGCAGGATTCTCTGCAGCTGGAGCAGTTCTCCCACACCAAGTACAACAAAATCCTGAGCAAGTAGGTTGTGCTCCAGCTCCGGGGGAGGGGTCTCAGATGCCCGGGGATGAGGCCCAAGCCAGCGCTTTTCCTCTTGGCAGGTACGGCGACATGAGGCGATTGATTGGCTTCTCCATCCGTGACATGTGGTACAAGCTGGGTGAGTAGCTACCGTGTCCAGAAGGACACAGCCACACACACGCACACACAATCACACGCATGCACAATCACACAACCACACACACACAATCACACAGCCACACACACACACGTGCACACACAAACACACATAGCCACACACACACACAATCACACGCATGCACAATCACACACAATCACACCCACAATCACACACCCACACACCAATGCACAACCACACACCCACGCACAAACACACACACACAATCACACACACATGCACAACCATATGCACACAATCACATACCCACACACCCATGCACAATCACACACCCACGCACAATCACACACCCAATCACACACCCACACACAATCACACACATGCACAATCACACACACATGCACAATCACACACCCACAATCACACACACAATCACACATATGTACAACCACACACATGCACAATCTCACACAATCATATGCACAATCACACGCACAATCACACACACAATCACACACAAACACAATCACACACATGCACAATCACACACACATAATCACACAATCACACATGCACAATCACATGCACAATCACACACACAAACACAATCACATACACAATCACACACATGCACAATCACACACCTACACACACGCACAATCACACACCCACACGCACAATCACACCCACATACACAATCACACACATGTACAACCACACACACATGCACAATCACACACATGTACAACCACACACATGCACAATCACACACGCACAATCACACACACACACGCACAATCACACACCCACACGCACATGCACAATCACACACATGCACAATCACACACATACACAATCATACACACGCACACACACACACACATGCTTTCCAAAGACCTCCGTCAGAGGTGCGAGGGTGGGATCTGGGAATTTCAGGGTATCGGAGGCAGCCACCTTTAATAATGCCAGACAGTAGTCTGAGGGAGTGGGTCCACCCTTCCCACTGCCCAAGCAGAGGGGAGCCTGCTTTTCAGGGGTGGAGACGTCAAAGGAACTGTAAGAGAGAGGAAGGGACAGCACCGGGGAATCTCACGTCCTGGGCATCACAGGATGCTCCTGGGCAGGGGAACCTCCCCTCCTTTCACTGAGGAAGACCTTGAAGCGGGAAGCCACCTGCAGAGCATGCTATTCCCTCCACAAAGACAGGAGCCACCAACTGCGTCCACAACCCAAATCCTGCTCCGTAAACATGTGCTAGATGGACAGGTGAATGGATAGATAAATGTGTGGGTGGTGGACCGTGGATGGATGGATGGATAGGTGGGTGAATAAATGGATGGATGGATGGGTGGATGGATAGATGATGGATGGATGGGTGGATAAATGGATGGACAGGTGGATGGATAGGTGCTGGATGAATGAACGGATGGATAAATGAATGGATGGATGGATGGATGTTGAATGAATGGATGGATGATGGAGGAATGGGTGGGTGGATAAATGGATAAATGAATAAATGAGTGGATGGATGGATGGGTGCATGGGTGGATATTGAATGGATGGGTGATGGAGGAGTGGTAGGTGATGGATAGATGGGTGGATAAATGGATGGACAGGTGGATGGATAGGTGCTGGATGAATGAACAGATGGATAAATGGATGGATGGATGTTGAATGAATGGATGGATGGATGGATGGGTGGGTGGGTGGATAGATGGATTGGGGGACGCAGTGAAGAATGAAGTTCTAACTCCGGCTTTCGGTCCCTTCGGTGTGCGGGCCTCTGTTCTGGCATGGCTGTTGGCCTCTTCCGTAGACATCTGCAGGGTCTGTGTCTGTCTCTCTCCATTACCAGTCCCGGGCTTCGCTTCCTCTGACCTCTTGGTGTCTGCCAGTCCCCCGTGGGTTTTCTGGGCAGCATTTGTGCGTCCTTGTCCGCAAGGCCTGGCCACTCTGTGGGAAGCAGCAGAGGGCAGATTCTGTGTCTGGGTTCTGTGTGGCTGGCAAGCACCTCATATCGGCTTAGCATGTGTGCTGATCGGCCGGGCTCACAAAGTCCAAAGCGGAGCCTGAGGACCCGGGTGCAGGACAGATGGCCCACATCTCAGCCACGGGCCACACTGTATCTTGTAAGAGCTGTGAGGCCACCAGCCAGGAGATCTGGCATCTCTGGGCCCAAACGCACCTTCTGAAGAGGTGCTGGTGAGGTCAGAGGTTAAGACCCCCGAGCGGGAGAGCCATGGGGGCTGCCACACTCCCGGCCCCATCAGCTGCCGCTCTGGCTGTCTCCTCATCAAAGCTGCATGCAGCCTGCATCCCCGAGACCGCAGGAAGCCCAGGCGGGCGTGGGTAGCGTGGGGCAGGTTGTCCACCCCTGGGGTAGGGTAATCGGTGGATTGTTTGTGGCTGTGGCCCTGAGCTGGCCCTCTGAGTGAGACAATCGGGATTCTCCTGACACTGGCGAATGTCCCCAGGGAGGGAGACCAGAAAAGCATTTGTGTCTGTCCTCTGTGTCCTTCTGTAAGAAGCAACATATGCGTCGCTTACAATTGCGTAGCAATTGGGAGGAAGAGCCTGAGCACGGAGACATGGACACATCCCCGCGAAGGCCACCGTGGCCGCCGTGGCCACTGTGTCTGTGGCGGCCCCCGTCCCATTGGACTGCCAGCCTCCTCCTCACATCTTCCAGTTTTTCAAAAGAAGCCGGGAAACTGGTCTTGAGCACATCTTTTGCATTTGTGAATAGGGATGTGAACTCCTTGCAGGCGGTCAGTGGAAGGGAGAGGTTCAGATGCAGTTCACTTTCCAGTATGTGTGCTCCGCTCCGCACCAGGAAGGGCCCACCAGCTGCAGTGGCCTGCGCGGTCTGTGGCTCTTCATGGGCTGTGTGGTCTTGTGGTCTTTGGTGGTTTGTGTGGTCATTGGTGGTCTGTGTGGTCTTTTGTGGCCTGCGTGGTCTGTGGTTCTTCATGGGCAGTGTGGTCTTGTGGTCTTTGGTAGTCTGTCTGCGTGGTCTTTGGTGGTCTGTCTGCGTGGTCTTTGGTGGTCTGTGTGGTATTTGGTGGCCTGTGTGGTATTTGGTGGCCTGCGTGGCCTGTGGCTTTTCATGGGCTATGTGGTCTATGTGGCCTGCGTGGTCTTTGTGGCCTGTGTGGTCTTTGGTGGTCTGTCTGCATGGTCTTTGGTGGCCTGCATGGTCATTGGTGGTCAGCATGGTCATTGGTGGTCTGTGTGGTCTTTGGTGATCTGCATGGTCTTTGGTGATCTGCGTGGTCTTTGTGGCCTGCATGGTCATTGGTGGTCTGCGTGGTCTTTGGTGGTCTGCGTGGTCTTTGGTGGACTGGGTGGCCTGTGGCTTTTCATGGGCTATGTGGTCTATGTGGCCTGCGTGGTCTGCATGGTCTGTGGTAGTTTATGCCATCTGTATGGTCTGCATGGTCATTGGTGGTCTGCGTGGTCTTTGATGGTCTGTGTGGTCTTTGGTGGTCTGCATGGTCTGTGGTAGTTTGTGCCATCTGTATGACCTGCATGGTCATTGGTGGTCTGCGTGGTCTTTGGTGGTCTGTGTGGCCTGTGGATTTTCATGGGCTATGTGGTCTTTGTGGCCTGTGTGGTCTTTGTGGCCTGCGTGGCCTTTGGTGGTCTGTGTGGCCTGTGGATCCCTGCGCTGCTCTCCTCGCCCTGCCCCTCTCCTGGCAGGGCACTCTGTGACTGGGAGCTGGGCCTCCTTTGTCTCCCGTGGTTCCCTGCAGCTTGCTCTTCTCTACGTGTCTTTATCGCGCAGCCTTGCACACACGCGGTTTTGCTCAGGTATAGGTTAGTGTGGGCAGGCCTTCCTGCGCTCCAGCTATGCGGATGAATGGGAGGCTGTTCCTGAACACCCCCCTGCGCAGACTCCGGCTCAGCCAAGCAGGAAGCGCCCTTTGCATATCACATTGCCCGGCATTTTCCAAACGTTTATTTTCAGCTGTGGGCCAGTAAAAAAATTCACGCACGATAAGTAAATTGGCTGAAACTGGACCTGTTCTCCTCAAAGTCAGTGGGAGCCAGAGCCTCTGACCACGGCTTCTCTGCCCTCCTACCTAGGCCTCGTGGTTTGCTGGGGACAGGACCTAGGGCATTGCAGCAGACCATGCCTGAGAGAGGACCCCGGCTAGAGGCCGGCCTAGGCAAAGCAGGAGACCTATCTGGAAATGAGCTAGCGAGTACGTGGGCTGTGGGTGTTGCTCAAGTGGTAGAGCCTAACAAATGTGAGACCCTGAGTTCAACCAGTGCCGCCAAAACAGAGACAGACAGAACACAGACAGACACGGAGAGACACAGAGAAGGCAGAGAGGATGGGCCCAGCGAGGGGGCCTCGCGCATCGTCCTTCCCTTCTTCCTTTCTGGGAAAACAGCGAGATAGCTGGGCAGGCAGCAGCCACCTTGACGCCACTGCCGCCGGCCTCCTTCTGACTTCCTAAGGGAGAAAATTAAAGCTTTGGGTTAGCCATGACAGCGGAGTTCTGCTACACCCCTAACTTAGAAGCAGTCTCACGCAGCCCTGGGGGGTGGAGCTGGCGTGGCAGAGGGAGCCTGGAGAGGTACAGGGACACACTCGAGGTCGACAGCTGACCACTGCCTGAGCGGAGGCCAGGGGGGCCTGCGTCAGTCCCCCCCACGTCCCCCCTGCCCAGCGTCCTCATGACCAGAGAGGCCAGGGGAGCCTGCGTCGGCCCCCCAGGTCCTCATGAGCAGTGCTTCCCCCAAGGGGTTGGTTGTGGATTATTTTTAAAGGGCCGACTGTGTACCCAGGCTTCCCATAATGAGTGAATCATGAAGCAGGTTCATTCTTCAGGCTCTGCTTTAATTCCACGCGCAATCAGGCTGCCGTGGTGAGGATGATCGACCAGCATCATCATCTTTTCAGGGAAGACTTGAGCAGCCTGTGATTAGAAAGAAGCTAATTGCCAGACTGTGCTCGCAGGCTAGGAGATGATTTAACAGGAGTGTGTGGACATGTCTAGATGTGTGTGTGTGTCTGTGTATCTGTGTGTATGTTGTGTGTCTGTACATATGTGTGTATGTCTGTGTGTGTCTGTGTCTGGGTGTATCATGTGTCTGTGTGCATGTGACATGTATCTGTGGGTGTGTATATATCTGATTGTGTCTGTGTGTGTCTGTGTGCATGTGACATGTATCTGTGGGTGTGTATATATCTGATTGTGTCCGTGTGTGTCTGTGTGTCTGTGTGAATGTCTGTACGTGCGTGTGTGCATGCACTCACCCCAGCCAGAGCTGGGCGCAGGGCATGGCAGGTGCGCATCGGGTGTTGGGCTGGTTTGTGACGGTGCTTGGCACACTAGCGGCAGCTGATGGTCGCAGAGTGAACCACGTGGTGACCACGTGACCCCCTGCTCTGCTCTGCCCCTCTCCCCTGCCCCGGCCACAGAAGAGCCGCACCCCTGCAGCCTTGCGAGCGAGTCCCCTCCCCCCCCCCAGGCCAGAACAAGATCTGCTTCATCCCCGGCATGGTGGGGCCCATCCTGGAGATGACGCTCATCCCCGAGGCCGAGCTCCGGAAAGCCACCGTCCCCATCTTCTTCGACATGATGCTGTGCGAGTTCCAGAGGAGCGGCGACTTCAAAAAGGTACGAGAGGAGGCGGCGCGAGCCCCGCTGCCCCATGGGGACGCCTCCAGCCTTCTGCCTGGACTTCCCCCGGAAGTCAGGGCTGCCCCATGGGGACGCCTCCAGCCTTCTGCCTGGACTTCCCCCAGAAGGCAGGGCCGGAGCTGGGGAGCGCAGGCCAGGGAGTGGTGCACCCCCCCCCACGGTCACAGCCAGTCCCCAGAGCCCAGCCCAGCACAGCCCCCCACAGACACGACCAGTCCCCAGCCCAGCCCCCCCC